ATGGAAAACCCTAATAGGCGATGATCCATACCTCCCGGCGATGGGCCTCGCTTCGGCCCAAGCCTCCCAGTGACGGGCCTCGCTTCGCTCCGGCAGAAGTTAGCCTTTATCATGTACATAACTGAATTTGGATCACAACTCAACATGGGGTACCCTCGGTGGGCTTCTGACCCCCTTTGCGGTTGGTGGCGGCCACAAGCGAGCCCTCACGCCGCTGCTTGTTCTTCTTCTTGACAGGATGGTTGGAGGCGTCTTCGCCGGCGTCCTCGTTCTACTTCGCCTTGCCTTTGAGGCGGTCGAAGATCGCTCCGACCGCCTCCTCTCCCGAGGCGTGGCTGGTGGTGATGTCGAGGAGCCCCTTGGTGGTTCGCGGGCCCTTACGTCCTAGCTTATGGACTAGGGGCTCGCAAGTGGTCCCAGATAGGAAAACTCCTATGACGTCGGCATCGGCGACGTTAGGTAGCTCGTTGCACTGCCGAGAGAAGCACCGGATATACCCCCGAAGGGTTTCCCCGGCCTTTTGCCAGCAGTTTTTGAGATCCCATGGGTTCATAGGACGCTTGTACGTGTCTTGGAAGTTTTCCACGAAGATCTCTTTTAGGTTCGCCCAACTTTGAATTCTGTTGGGCGGAAGGTGTTCCAACCATGTTCGCGCCGAATCTGCCAGGAACAATGGCTCCATCGGCTTGGCAAGCAAGCCGATAATCCTCGAGCCATAGTCTGGGGTTCATTTCCCTGTAGTATTTCGGGATGTTGGTTGGTGGTCGGTACCGTGGCGGGAAGGCGGCGTTGAGGATGTGTCGGCCGAAGGCCTCAGTTCCTGGTAGGCCGGGGCTCGGGCTTCGGGCCTCGCCGCTGTCGTGGTGCCCGCCACAACGAGGGCGGTAACCGTGGCTAGCTTCCTCTCCTACATCGCTATGGGTACGCCTGCGGGCATCGAGGGTGTCGCGCGTGTCACGGTTGCGGCCGAGACGCTCATGCACCAGGACCGCGGTGCGCAACCTGCCGCCTTGCGACGCATGGTGGATGGATGCGTCCTTGTTGGGTCGCTCTGAGGGCGTGCGCTGGCTGGCGTCGAGCTTGCATTGCCGAGACAGTGAGCTCTCGGCCTGCTACGTCGTCATAGGCTCGAGCAGCGTGCGAATCTCGCGGTGGGCCCGATGATCCTCGGGCGTCGTGGACCCCGGAAGCCCACGGAGCAAGGCTGCCACCGCAGCGATGTTCTAGCTCGCCCAGGTGAAGTGTGGGAGGGCTTCATCATCCGCGATGATCCTCCGGTTCATGTCACGGGCCATGGCGCGCGCGCCCATTGTCTCTGTGGCGCTCGATCTCCTAATCGAGCTCCGTGCGTTCCTGCTCGAGCTGGAGTCGTGCTTTCTCGAGCTCTAGGTACCGGGCCTTCAGCTGCTCCATCCACAAGCGGGGTAGAGCCCCTGTATCCCCCTCGACCTCATAGTCGAGATCGTTTGTCGAGGTAGCCTCTTCCTCGTGGATGCTTTCGACGTGTCCCTCGAGGGTACTTGCCATAAAACATTCGTGAGAGGGGTGATGGTTCCCCCTGCTGGAGTGAGAGGCGGAGGGCGACTCCGTTTCTTCCATGAGGAGGTCATGGAAAGACTCCACAACATATTCGGTCATCCCTACGAACTCGTCGTTCGCGGGGAAAGGAGGCGCGTGTTGCGCCACAAGGTGGCCAACGGTCTCTGCGGCGTTGCGGAGATAGAACGAGAGCGCTGTCGGGGCGCTCCGGATGGGGTATTCTGGAGAGAGCGGCTTCCCTCCGGCAGGTTGTGCCATGACGTTGGAGAACGAGAAGGTGAGGTGGTGCAGGTTCTCTTGGGACGGTTGGGATCCCAGGAAGGCGCCGAGCTGGCGCTCTAACCCACGTAGTCGAAGTCGATGAGCTGGTCGCTTCCGAAGACGTGGGCCTCTGGTGTGTGCAGCTACAGCTCCTCAAGTGCCTCGGCGATCGCGTTGAGGTCGGCGGAGTGGAGAGGTCGGACGGCGGTAGAAGCCATTGCCAACTCTCCCTCCGTTGTGACGATGAAGTCTAGGTCTCCAAAACAAATGTGGGCGCCCTTGACCTAGCTGAGGTTGTGACTAGCCATCCGAGGCCTGGTGTGGATGTCGAGATGCGTAAAAGGCCCTTAACTAGCGCACCAACTGTCGGTGTTTCGAGTTGCCACCGACTAGTAAATTTCTAATATTACGCGTCTTTCTCGGATGCTGTGCTAAGAGGACACGAGGTTTATACTAGTTCGGCCAGAATGTCCCTATGTCTAGTTCGTTGCTGCTGCTCGTGTTACTAGCACTAAAAGTTCGTAGTAGGGGTTACAAACGGTCGAGAGAGGGACAGGTCCCAAGTCTCTGGTGAGGGGAGCGAACGGGTGACAAGAGCTTGGTCGCTTCCCAGCTATGTGCTCATGTGTTCTGATCGGTTCGGGGTTCGATGGGTTTGAGTCCGAATTGATGCGATGTGTTAATACCCTACGCCCCGTGTCTTTGGCGATATCTTCTATGGGACGCCTTCTAGGGACCCTTTCTTTTTATAGGCCAAGGAAAGCACGGGCCAAGCGCCGTGCACGCTTTGATCTCACGGGTCGCCAAGGGAGGAAAAGAGGAGGATGAGAAGGAGAAGAAGTCCTCATCCGGTGATAGCCGAGTCCTTCTTTTCCTTCACGTGGGTCCCTCGCCGTGCCTCGAGAGACGCCAATCAGGATAGCCCCACATCATAGCCCCTATCCTCACTTCGACGCCATACTTGCCATGTGCAAAGGCCATCTCCCGGTCCATGAGTGGCGCTCCACTTGGTCCCCTGACGGACGTCGTGGTGGGTCGACGCGCGTGTTGCGCCACATCAATCCTCGTCTGAGGTTAGACAAAACAACACCCCATGCCCGACAGTGTTTGATGTGAATCCCGAGGTATGGCCCTTGGGACACCGCGCATGGGTTATATCGATGAGCCGTCGCGCCTCACCACCTCCTCAAGTGCCTCGTCGAGCTTTGACTCGTGCCCATTCGCTTGGACCTGGGGGTGGTTGGCGCCCTTGACCTATGGGTCTTCGTCCGAGCGAGAGATGCGGATCCCTTAACCTCTGCCGGGCTCGGGCGAGGTAAATTTCGAAGTCGCCCTCAGGGGTTTATACTAGAGATGGAGCCTGCCTTGTTACTAGAGGTCGAGCGAGGCGGTTACAAGCGAGACCCCAAAGGTTGGACGAGGCGGCTACTTCCCGCTGCACTCCAAGGGTCGAGCGAGGCGGAGTCGAGATATCTCCCCGCGGCCAGGTCACGGGCTCATGCGAGGCGATGAGAAGGAGAAGAAGTCCTCCAGATCCGAGCCTTCTCGAGGGTTGGGCGAGGTGGAGCCCACGACCTCGGCGCCATGTCGTCTCCCGGTCGAGCTCACTTGCCCCGCGGACTCGTGGTGAGGCCGGATGGGAGCCCGCCCTTAGAGGTCGAGCGAGGTGAAGCCCGCTGCCTCGGTGTTGGGCGAGGTGGAGCCCACCCCAGTAGAGGGTCTGGGGTCGAGGCGAGTCCTCAAAGGCTCGGGCGAGGCGGCCTCGGTGTTGGGCGGGAGAGCCAGCCTCGGCCTAGAGGCGGTCGGACGATGCGAGAGCCGAGCCTGCCTCAGAGGTCGGCGAGGTGAAGCCCAAGCCGGTGCAGGTCGTGGAGCCCACCCCTAGAGGTCGAGGCGAGTCCCCGCCCGCCTCGAGAGGCCTAGAGGTCGGCGAGGGCCTTGCACCTAGGGGTCGATTAGGTTTCGGGCGGCGGCTCATGACCTGAGTCACGCTCTTCTTAACTTCTGGATGAATCAATGTTGATGGTTATTCCTCTTCGGTTACCCTAGTATTGGTCCCCGACAAATTTGTCTTGTCTTGAGCAGTTCGGCTTTTCATGTACTCCTTCCGACCCAAAATAACTGCACTTCTATAATTTGTTTTGAATAGATCAATGTTTCTATAAAGATATAATAATTGCATTTTGAGAAAAAAGTAGAAAAGACAACTAGAGCCAGGTGGTCTTAAACCGGTCTCAATGGGATTTCATGTCTCATTTTTCAACACACCCGTATATTTTAAATCAATGTATAAAAGTTTTATGGGATGAAACTCTCTTTGCTACCATAAAACTTTATCATCTCTCTTCTAAATACTTTGCTATGTAAGTATACTAGTTTTTCGGGTGCGCCCATGCGCGCGGTCCACTGGCCACACGTATTTTTTGGAGAAAAAAAAGATATAATCAAAGTTGGGCTGTATTTTGATTTGAGAAAAATCTGAGGATGTTTTCGCAAAAAACGGTGAGAGTGTCTGGGGAGCGCGAGTTGATTTTCGATAAAGTGGAGGTCTTTTTTGCAAACAAACCAAAGGCCCATCCGATCTGAATCGAAAGCGTTGATTTGGAAATAATACGAGACGTTTTTTTGAAAAAAATTCTGAGAGGACATCTGGAGCGCGGGTTGATTTCCGAAAACTTAAAGGGGTTTTTCGTAAAACGACCGCGGCTCGTCCGATCTGGACCGTCCGCGCGGCCGATCGAACGGCCGCGAAAAGCCGACGATATGGCCACCCTAAGACCACGCCATGGCCACACCAAATCATATCTTTAGATTCCATACCCGTAAAACTCAAATGAACCCGTATATTTTTCCGTTTTGTTCCAATTCACGGCCGTTTTCGACATGCTCGTGGGCTATTTTCGAGGCCAACCAAGCTGCAGGGCAGTACCGTAATTTCCGTGGCCAGTTGCGGCCGACGACCTCTCCGAGAACGAGAACGACTTTTCCTCTCCCGTTTGCTTCCCCTGCCAGCACTCTTCCGCGTCAATCTCGCGCCCGTTCCCGCTTCCGCTGCCGCTTGCCCGCTTCCTCGTCGCCGCCATCTTGCTCCGGTCCCGCCGCCGCGGCCGCTGCTTCAAGTGGGAGCCGAGTGATCTCTCTGGCAGAGGATCCAGGCTGAGTCGGCGTCGCCGGCAGCAGAGGCGGGAGACTTCGCCGCCATGTCGTTGGACTCGGAGGCATCCTCGCAGGGCGGGGACTACCGTAGCTTCCGCCAGATCACTCGAGATCGTAATCCCTCTTCCCATCCCGATTTGGATTTGCTCGCTCGCTGCTGCTGGAAATGGATCTGGCAAAATTGCTTACGGAGCTGGAAATACCGACATGCGGTTTGTTGCTCTGGAGTCTAACATCTAGTCGCAGTAGAGAATTATACGGCGTAGTGACCTGTGCTTAACCCTGCATTGCTGTTGCCAACTGAGTGATGGCCCGTTGGTTTTGCTTGCCACACTTGTGGCTTCAGTGTGCGGCGGATACCTTGATCAAGAGAGTAGTGTCAATACAATGAAGTGGGCTGTGCTCTCCTCAGCACTAGTAGACAAACAGTTTGATACCTGATAGAAGTAACATGGCTAAAATTTACTTGGAAAATCAATAATGTTACTGGATTGAATATAGCCAAAATATAGTGACACTGTTAGGCTAATAGCTTTCGGAATGTGAGGGAGTGTTGGACAACTGTCATCTTGTTATACATATTTTATGGAAAAAGTCATGTAGTATTGCCTCAAAGAGGAATCTTGATATGGAGTGATTTTCATGCATAGTTAACAATTGTATCAACCCACCACTTTGCAGATGCTCATTATTAATAATTTTCTAAGTATCCATCCAATAGTTTTGTAACATCTTTGCTCACTGTATCATATACAATCTTGTTTGTTTTATTTAACTGATTACATATGTATCGGTGGACCTTTGCAGCTACTTATGTTTGTGTTAACTGATATATTGCATATATTGGCTTGCTTGAGACTAAAAGGATTTCGTTGCTGCTGCTGTTGGGTTTATAAATAATTGTGCTTTGACAAATGCAGGTTTATTATTTGAAATGCTCAGATCAACTAGGAAGAATTCGAAATCAACATGGAAGGTATCCTTTTCCATTGAACATTTTTACTAATATCTGGAATGGTTTTCTTGAAGTGCCCCTGTATTATGAAGTACTTACCTTGAAGTTTCATTTTGTCAATTTATTGTGTTTGTTCCTAACTATTGCTAACTGTCTTATGGTTGATGTGATTATTTGTTTTTATCCCTCGTTTATGCATATTTCCAAGGGACCATCCTTGAGTTTTTTTTCCTATGTGAAGCAATTTCAGGTTACTTGCATTATTGGATTGGTACACCAAGATTACACCCTGTCAGTTTAGTGCAGCTGCTTTTTGTGTCTTATGGTTTTTATGATGTAATAACTGGAGAAACATCGAACCTAGCACTCTTAATTGATCTATGTGCTTGGTCAATTTGCTTTCTGACATTCTCTAGGTTCAACTGATTTTGCTTCATCTGGCAACAAACACAATAAAGGGATTGCAGGCATTCCATGGAACATGTGTGTTCAAGAAAAAAAAAATCTATGGAACATGTTGTGATGAAGTAATCTAATGTTGCTTGACTATTTGTTTCCAAAACCAGTTTAACTATGTCTAAGAACTTACATTCTTTTTATTGACATATTTGGTATATAGTCTTAAACGCATGAGATAATTGTAACATTTGTTTTACACCCATTTTAGAATAAATAATCCTGAAAAAGTTTTGCATTTTATTCACAAATTGTCATGATCTCTTCTAGGTCCTTATCATGGATAAGTTTACAGTCAAGATTATGTCTTATGCATGTAAGATGGCAGATATCACAGAAGAAGGGGTTTCATGTAAGTGGGCAGGCATGATTTGTTTTTTGTTATGAGTTTTGTTTTTACTTGCATAAACAAAGTTTCCTTTTCCATTGCTGCTAGAGTATATAAATAACAAAGTGGGAAAAACAGATGTAAACCAGTGGATCGCCACACTCACCTGTTGTTTTGACAATTTAGATCCCCTAAATACTAAAAATTCATTAATTTAGGACTTGCAAAATCAGGCATGACTTTCCATAATTATTGAAGAGGCGGTTTTGCATGGGTTGGGATGGTTCTTCAAGTTCATGATAAGGGGTGGGGGTAGGTGTCCAGCCATAGATGTACCTACTACGGGTGTGAACAATTGTTTATACTGCTATAAATGCGTGTTTGTTCTATGGTTCTGTACTAGGAATTTTGTAACATTTTAGCTGAGTTACACTAGAAGGCTCTTCTGGTTACACTATATACATTTCCAAAATTATCCGCATAGAGTATTTCTTCAGGCAGACACCCAGTGGACTGATAGAAGGACCTTGTTGATATCGCCACTTAATAATTTGGTAATTAGTATTCAGTAGCCTAATGCAGTCTGCCTTTGTGTGCAGCATAACTGCATTTTGTGAAATTGTGAATTACCATTTTGAATCTATCGCATCCCATGAGACCTATGTTTTTTTTAGTATTTGTATACAACAACAACAACAACAACAACAACAACAACAACAACAACAAAGCCTTTCAGTCCCAAACAAGTTGGGGTAGGCTAGAGTTGAAACCCAGCAGAAGCAATCAAGGTTCAGGCACGTGAATACCTGTCTTCCAAGCACTCCTATCTAAGGCTAAGTCTTTGGGTATATTCCATCCTTTCAAGTCTCCTTTTATTGCTTCTACCCAAGTCAACTTCGGTCTTCCTCGGCCTCTCTTCACGTTACTATCCTGGCTTAGGATTCCACTACGCACCGGTGCCTCTGGAGGTCTCCGTTGGACATGTCCAAACCATCTCAACCGGTGTTGGACAAGCTTTTCTTCAATTGGTGCTTAGAAACTTTCTCCCTTAAGCCAAAGTTGAATCATCTCTGTTTTCTTACATATCTTGTCCTTCAACTTCCTGAATATGGCATGCTGGTCATCACCTATTGCCTTGTTTTTTTTTCATATTTTCTTTCTAAAGTTCTATTCCCATTCCTTCAGATTAAAGTTTTCTTTGTGAGAATATGGGATTTCCACTAGATGCTTAATCTGACGTAGAGTCCGAATTATGAAAATTGTTTTGTAGTGGTCGAAGATTTATATAAACGGAGGCAGCCATTGCCTTCACTGGATGCCATATATTTCATCCAACCAACTAAAGAAAAGTAAGTTATCATGCTTGAAATATTCTTGTTACAAATCTTGTATCATAGAGCGATATTATTTTCATTTCTACATTTGGAAATAGTCTGTATGCCTGTATAAAACACTGTAACTGGATAAGTATGATTAGAACAGCTATCTATATTCCACTACTAAGTGGTTTGGCTAATAAGATGCAGATACAGTTTTCTGGGTGTTAGTGGCTTTTGGACATTTTGATCTTATATATCCATTTTGCAGTTATGCTATCTCTAGCCTTTGTACAAAAAGTGTTCTTTAACACAGGAGGCTCCAAAAATGCCCAAAGCTCCAGTTTACATGGACTCATAGCATAAAACCTGACCCTCAATTCAATGTGTGAGAAACCAATGGCCAACATAATTCCTGTTGTTGAATGAGGCTAGCCATAATAAAATTTTGAATTTCACGCATCAATTAGTTCAATCCATGCTTAAGCTGCTGAAGATATATAGGACAATCTGCTCATATGTCAATATTTATCCTCACATCCAGGTTCAGCCAGGACAATCACTTCGTGTGACATGGGCTAGGACCCATTCCACTTTTGGAACTCTCTTTGTTGCCCTACCGAACATCTCATTCATCATAATGCTGTTATTGTTTTTTTTAAGTTTGTGCTAGCCAATTCTCGATCTTGTCTTGAATTTAGGATATCTGGCTATAGGATCATGTTAAATTTGATTTGCCAGCATTTACATCCAGATGCTTAAGCTATAGAGTTAAGGTGGCCAATCAACTCAGGTTGTGTCCATAAAGGGAGATTCAGATTCAACACCTTATGATTTCTTCCAAATCTGAAAATCCTAAAAATGTCAAGACCGATCTCCCTTTTCCAAACAGGCTCATACTGTCATACAGCAACGGTAATTAGTGTCTGAAACCTAGAGATCAGTAGATTACTTCAAGCATGGCAATTCGTGAAGAGATTTCACTCTTTGAGTGTATGTGGGTTACTCACAGTGGAGGGTTACCGTTTGCATGTTTGCACTTATTACCCATGAGCATAGAGCATGGCATGTGCTGAATTGATATAGAAAACAAACCTTGAGTTCTGCTTGCAGCCATATGTTCCATCTTTTGATTTGATTGATGCTCTTAACCATCATACCATGGTGATTGCAGCATTGTCATGTTCCTATCTGACATGTCAGGAAGAAGCCCTTTGTACAAGAAGTACGCGCAACATATATTTCCACCCACTTTTTTTATGGATACTTGCTTTGGTGTTTTATCTATTGACATATTACTTGTGTTGCAGGGCATATGTGTTTTTCAGTTCTCCCGTGCATAAAGAATTGGTTGCTCAAATAAAAAAGGATTCAAGTGTACTGCCTCGTATTGCTGCACTTAGTGAGGTTACATGGCTCTCTTGCCCCTTTCTGTTTTACTTGAGTATGTCAGATTGTTATGTTGGTTATTCACTATATCTTGTTCTTTTTGTTTATCTTCCAGATGAATTTGGAGTACTTTGCTATTGATTCCCAGGTAAGCATTTTCTTTAAAAAAGATCATTGGTTCCTGATACGGTTTTTTATCCTGTTCTATGGAAATACATATAGCTTGGATTAGTTGTAATGGAGACCATATTCTTGCTCTTAAGTCAAGAAGCTGTCATAAAAATAGAAATGAATTCTTATGTTCTGTTTTCCTCCCATTAAATCTTTCATAGTGGCTGGATTTGAGGCCTCATGTTTTCTTTATAAGTTGTGAGTTTATCACAAAAACAAGGGTGGGAGTGGGAGGTGGTAAGGTGAGAGGGTAAACTGTCTGGTTTGCCCCTGAGAAATTCAGTTACCGTTACTCATTTCTGTTCCTTTAATCCTTTTAAATATTTTTGTTCCCTTTTGATGGTAGGATGAGATGAAAACAACATTCGATTGTAAGATGATACATAGGCATACTTCTATATAGCTCGAAGTATCCATGGATTTAGTGTAAAGTAGCAAATATGCCTGTGTGTTACAACGGTTTGAAAAACCCTCTTTGCTTCTCCTCCTCACTGCTCCATCCACCCTGTTCCAGGCCTCTTGAGACATTCTGTATTTCGGAGTCCTGATATGTGGATGAGGCCACGGGCTCGTTAGCCTCGTTGGCCTCAGTGCTCAACAGCGCTTTGTTGTGACAGGATTGCATCTTCTATGTTCTCATGGCTTGTTGTGACAGGATCACATCTTCCATGTGCTCGCTCTATCTGGCAAGGGAGGCGTAAGCTTGCTTTGTTTTATATAGGTTTTTATTGTACAAATTCTCCACGTGGAATTAAATTATCGTCCTTATGGCCTGCAACGTTGCATAGTGTTTTGTTATGCATGTAGGCCCTGTAACAATCCCGCCTAGTTCATGTGAAGCCGTGATGACTCAGTAGACTACTTCACTACTATCACTATTGGGCCTTCGCTTGCTTCAGCCTACTTGTATAAAACAATCCTGGCAATGCGGGCAATGTTTTTCTAGACAAATTCACATGAGGGCCATTCATCTAGCCAATAGATAAAGCCCAGTTCAATAGCTACTCCCAAGTTGCCTGCGTTAGGGGCTCAAAATGCGCCGCAGCATCAGTATCGCACGCGGTGCGGAGGAGCGTACTTTTTGGTTAGACAAGAAAAAAAAGAAATAATTTAAGGAGGTTTCTAGAAGCGATGGAAAAGAAAGCCTATTGCTTTTAATATTAGGGATATACTTGATAACTTCTGTAATTGCATGAGTAGGGTTCCTCACTCAGCTTGGTGATTGCGTGCAGGGTTTCATAACTGACCATGAAAGGGCATTGGAAGAACTTTTTAGTGAAAATGCAGAAGGATCTCACAAGTATAATGCTTGTCTGAACACAATGGCTACTCGTATATCTACAGTATTTGCATCAATGAGGGTATGCATACTTGTGAAAGCTTGTGTTGCTTGAATCTTGTACATTTTGTTTTCTGATACATGACCAGAAGTGTCTACTGTGAGAAAGATGGACCAGAAGTTAGAGAAATAGGTGGGTTGGGTTGTTTCATTAGCCCTCTGCCCTAACCAAATGCCTGACCTTAAATTTACTAACAAAATATGATTCACAGCCCACGAGGTTTGGTGGTCAATTGGTTAGGGACAAAGGCAAACCCTGGGTCTTAATTTTTTCTGGGGTCACTGAAAGTAGATGAATGTGCATCCGTATTGATTTCTTGAAGGAGAGATTGGTTACAGGATGCATCTTATAGAGAGACTTAAGGCTAAGTAATAGGCAACACTCCAGGGGGACTAACCTGATCGTTATTAGCCAGCTTGTGTGGTGGCCTGACCCAACCCACATACACTTCTACTTTTTTTTTTCTTGAAAACGCAGGAGAACTGCACTTCATTATATTAAGAAGAAAAAAGGGGGAAGAAACCCCGTACAGCACATACCACACCACTCCAAAATACAAAAAAAACTTACACACGCGCCTGTGCGAACATAGAAGGCGACCAGAGCTAGATTATCCCTAGGTTACAGAATCACTGGGGGGAGGGGTGGGGGTGCCAAGAGAGATAGCCCCCGAGCCCCAGCTAAAGCCCACAGCCGCCGCTCCTCCAAAGCAAAACCCAAAGCAGCAGCCAAGTTGGAAGCAGCCCCATCAAATACACAACTATTACGATGATTCCACAAGGTCCAGGCTCCTAGGATTACAACAGAGTTGAAACCTTTCTTTGTTAACTCAGCAGTAACATTGCTTGATCTTTCCCACCACAAATCAAAGGATGAATCTGTAGGCTGTGGGGAAAAAAGATGGATACCAAAGTGTTTGGAGTAGAGAGAACCAGAACTTCCGAGTGAAGACACAAGACACAAGAAGATGATTGATGGTTTCCTCCTCTTGATCACAGAGAGGACACTGCTCCGGGTGTGGCAGCCCCTGCTTTGCCAGCCGATCCACCGCCCAGTACCTGTCATGTGCAACCAGCCACATGAAGAAGGCACTTGGGTGGAGCCCAAGTTTTCCAAATCCTCTCATAAGGGCCAAACTGAGTAGACCCAATGAAAAAGCCTTCATATGCAGACTTGGCCGAGTACTGTCCACTAGAAGAAAAACGCCAAATGTGAGAATCCTCAATATCTGGCTGTAGCTGAAAATCATAGATGAGATCCCATAGACAGAGAATTTATGATGAAAAAGGATAAGTCTCCTTGCAAGTTAATCCCAGATGGAACAACTATTATTTCTTGGAACAAGGAAAAATGGTTCAGTAGGAAGTGAAGTTGGAGGTAGCCTGGTGAAAACTGCTGTACAGTAAAGACGATGTAGACAATTCTGAGATCCGCTGATGTTATTGTTCCAGAAATTAGATTTTGGTGATAACTTTGTTATAATTGTTATTTCTTTATGCTCCCATCCACTTCCAACAAAGCATATCAGTGATTGACCTGTGTGCAAGTTGGTCCCAACTAACTGTTGGCTTAAAATCTATTGAAATGTATTTTTCTATACACTACAGGAATTCCCTCGTGTACACTACCGTGTTGCCAAGACGATTGATGCTTCTACAATGACAACACTACGAGACTTGGTCCCCACAAAGCTTGCTGCTAGTGTATGGAATTGTCTTGCGAAATATAAAACGACAATACCTGAATTTCCTCAAACAGAAACTTGTGAATTGCTTATAGTAGACCGTTCAATGGATCAGGTATGTGTTGAACATATCTGTGGTTTAACCTTTATTCTGCTTCTACATTGAGTATATGGTATTCATCTTTTTATACCACTTTGTTTCTTTGGTACTTCAGATTGCGCCAATTATTCATGAATGGACTTATGATGCTATGTGCCATGATCTGCTTTGTATGGATGGCAATAAGTATGTTCATGAGGTGAGCATATAAACACACTTGCTGATGTTTTAACATTGTATTCTATTCTATTGCCTCTGTTGATACTAATTGATTCTTTTCTTTGACTGAAATAAAGGTTCCAAGTAAAAATGGGTCGGCAACTGAAAAAAAGGAGGTCCTGTTAGAAGATCATGACCCTGTCTGGCTTGAGCTTAGGCATGCACATATAGCAGATGTAAGATTACTCCTTAATCTACCTTCTTACTTGGTTCATGTATTCAACAATTGCATGTTTAACCATGACTGTTGTAGGCAAGTGAGAGACTACATGATAAGATGACCAACTTCATTTCAAAGAACAAAGCTGCACAATTGCACCAAGCACGGTTTGTTGTTTCAACCTGAGTATTATTATACCCGGATAAATCTTTATTAGCTAAGATGTGTTCTCCTGTTCTTTTCCATTCTGATTTTCCCATTTGCAATGAGCACTAATTAGATATTAGATGTGGGCCAGTTTTCTGCAGACACTTACTCCCCTTTTCTGCCAAGTAACATTGGGTTTAAGATTTGTCTACAATAGATAGTTGATATTGCTTATTAGATGTATATGTTCTCTATGTACTTTTCCATTGTATAAGGGGGTTTGTCCATATTTGCTAATACTTGCACATGTATATATTTGGCCCTAGAGCCCTCATAATGAATACAAGTGCTATTCATAACATTTCTATCCTGGATTGATCATACTGTGTATATCATAAATAATCATTGTGGTAACTGGACTTGTGTTGGCAGCATTCCGGTTTGTGTAAAGGTAATGCCATCCACATGATATTTCCATGGTGAAATGCATTAAATAATTCATTTCTGTGCATAGTTCTCTCTCTCTGCTAGTTGCTCAAATACTATTTTTCATGTCGATTAGAAATCTGTTTGTGACACATTTCAAGAAATTTTGATAGGTTACACTCATGATATGTGAAACGTGATATATTGTACTTTAATTCATCTTATGTGAGCTTATTTGATGCATGGCACATGAAAACTTGAAAATACATATTTTTATGCTCCTTGAAAAATGTCAGATTTTGAACATGGTCCTGGATAGGTCAGCCCATGCCTTCAGTGCCACCACCACTGCTCACTGCTGGCCTGCCGCGCTCCCTGGCTTTCCGCTAAGCTCAGGACTAGGGACATGGTGAACCTATGGCCCGAATCCTCAAACCCAATTAGCTTGCCAAGGACAGACAGCTGCTGAGAAAAACTCTGTTATAACATGTTGTGATATGGTAGACTGTTTAAGAAATGCTATGGGCCTGTTTGGTTGGGTGGCCAACCTCTGGCCAGGCTCCAGGAAGCCACCTTGGAGTTGTTTGGTTCCCTGTTTAGGCCCTTTAGCCAGGTGCATCTCGTTTCCGGAGCATCTCGTTTCCGTGTAGCCTGGCTTGGCCAGCGCTAAGTCGTGGTTCGTGTCACCTTCCACCTCCCGACGCGAACCTCTTCCAGGTCCTCTCCCCTCCCTCCGACGCACCTCCACGCCTGCCCCCACCCTTGTCAGTTGCCATGCTCGCGCCACATAGCTTCGGCAATGCGGTCAAGCTCCCAATTAGCGCCCACGACAGAGCTTCCCTCATCCAATTCGCATGGTGCTGTGGAGCTCCGCTCCGCCCACGACTGGGCACCCATGGCGCTACTGGTCACCCATGACGAAGCTCCAACAACGCGCAGATCTCCCATGGCGGCGGCGCTTCTTCGCGAACGAGACGCTCGTGTCTTCCGCAGCACTTCTCTGCGATTGCGAACGAGCCGGTCATCCGCCGCGAAGCTTCTCGATGAACGAGCCGTTGGGCATCCGAGCTGCTTCTCCACGTGCACCGCCACTCGAGCACATGCTCCTCTGCTCGCGCCACCGCGCCGCTCGGCCACGCACCAAGACAGCACCCCCAGCATGCAAACCAGCTGTTCGACAAAATGCCTGAGAGGGTAACCTTACCAGAATAGAGAAGAGGTAATTCTATGCAATGCAAACCAAACAACTAAACACACCCGGTGCTAGCCAGGCTTAGACAATGCATGCAACCAAACAACTAAAGATCGGCTTGCTGGAAGCTGGCTTGGGCTGCCCAGGCTCCAATCCTAGCCAGGCTTCAACTAAGGCAGGAAACCAAACACACCCATAGTAGCTGACCTGGTTTAAAGTAACCTGATTTGATACTTTGCCACTCCTTGTTTTGAGAAAGGGTTATCACTCTGTACCCATCTTAACATAATTGAACTACAACAATCAGAATCATATTTGACCGATTGATAAGTAGCAAGTGGACAAAAACTGTTCTATACCAATCTCTATGAGTTAGGATAAATCTGTATTCTGAACCGAGATTGAAGTGAAACTGTTGAAGTAGTATAGATATCATACCTGCATTGGAGAGGACATAAACTTGCAAACAGTTTTCGAGTTAACCTTGAATGACAAATAGTTTTATGGGACAGCTTGATTCCTTAAAATGATTTTTGTTCTATGGCTACTTTGATGTAAGGCCCATTTCTGGTTTGCTGTGTTTTGTTAACTCTGTGTTTCTGTTTAAATCTGCTTTGAGAAATTAACATCCTGTTTCATAAATCAGATATAATACTTTTCACCTGCTGTCGTACAACGATCAATTGTTCCCTATTTTCAGCTTATTTTTGTCATTGAGTTTTTCTTGAGTAAGTAAACCATATTTCCTTTGATATGGGAAATCGAGAAGATCTAATTTTACAGCGTGATTAAGAGAAATCAGGTATATGAAAATGAAAACAATCAAATATTGGTTCACCAAACAAATTACTATAATTTGCTGCAATGCCAAACAGAGCCTTAATTGGAAGTAGTAATTTCTTAAGCTTGGTCATTTACGCTGACATACAAACACGTTTGTTAGTTATGTTCTTAACTTCTTGTTTCAATGTTGATTTGAGTTTAGGGTTGATTGCATTTCCCTTTTTTATCACCAGAACCGGTGGGGAATTATCTACAAGAGATTTACAAAAAATGGTTCAGGCTCTTCCACAGTACAGTGATCAAATTGATAAGCTTTCCCTGCATGTTGAGGTTGGTTTTATATTGTCTGCGACAAACTTTAAGTTGTTCACTGTTGCTTGTCTAGTGTTGCACTGCATTGCTTATAAGTCAAACATGGGATTAAATGGATTGATAAAGATCCTCTTTTTTTTTTCCTATTCCGATATTATGGCCATCTTTTCAAATGCTCTGTTTCTTTGTTCTGAGTAAAAAGTTTATGATTTTATCTGTCTCCTGCCCTGAAAATAAGTTCATCTAAAAGAACGTTGGTATATAATAGACATCCCATTTAAAATGCAACTCTCTTCTTTAGGGTCACAATATCTAATTAGTTATTTCTAAAAAGAACCATAATTTCTTTTTCTCAAATATAGATCCAATATATTCTTTTGTTTGATGTTTTTCCTGAAGCAGTTAAACAACTTATTATTTTAACTTATTATCGTTTTGGTTAAAAGTGTTATTGTTTTCTTCCATATCATTCCTAAACTCTTATTTGCCTTTAGAGTAAAATGCACCAGAGGTCCATGAACTTGTGATGGGGTTTCATCTAGGTCCATCAAGTTAATGGATCTCTGGTGTGTTTTACTCTTTACTTAATAAGTGTCCTACATATGTATATTTTTGTTCATTACATGAAGCATGTACAGAATGATTCTATGTTGTATTTCTGTCACTTAATTTTATACAGATTGCAGGAAAACTCAATAACATAATACGGGAACAATGTCTTCGGGATGTTGGACAACTAGAGCAAGATCTTGTGTTTGGCGATGCTGGAACAAAAGAACTAATCAACTTTTTGAGAACACAATTGGTAAATTTATATTTGAACTACATAAGTTGACATATTGGACTTCTCCAAATGTTATATTCAGATTTGCTGACTCAATGCAGGTTGTAAGTCGTGAAAATAAGTTACGCTTGATGATGATTTATGCAGCACTTAACCCGGAGAAGTTTGAAAGCGACAAAGGTGCAAAATTAATGCAGGTAATTCTTAAGCCCAAGATTTTATTTGACAACATCAAGGCTTTTTAAATTTTATTTTAACATGTGTGAACTGTAGTTTGTTAATTCAATTCTGGTTTTGCATCTGGGATGGAACATTTCGGTATAGGAGCATTTCAGTGTACCATTATGGATTTATATTTATTCATAATCTTGTGTATACAAAATAAGAAAAAAGTGAAGGAGAAAAATGAGAATGGGATGGGTGATTGGGTTTTGTCAGACTATCCAGCCCAAAATACTTTTTTTTTCTCGAATACGCAGGAGAGCTGCGTACCTTTGTATTAAGAGAGGAGAAAACCGTGGGGCTTCGATAGCGAAGCGGAGTGGCCGGGGGCGTTTGGCAGCTTGCGAAGTGGTACCAAACGTACCCTATAATGGTTAGTGCGTAACACAAATCGCCATCACCATAAGTAGGGCCTTCAATGCCACATCGTTTGTACTAAGCCGACCAGTTCATGCTCATATGCAGTAAGTTTGAGGTGGCGAGCTGTGAATGGCCGGCTGAAGAAAGCCAATGCCCTTGCACCTTGATCCCCTGCACTTTGACATGTAACACCTATCATGATATGAGTTATGTGTCCCACTATCATCTTTTTCTTTGAAAAAAAAATGGAGTGAGTGTTGAGCGGCAAGTAGCACCAGCTTGGCATTCACAGGAGGCCAAGACCAGGGCACAATTGAAGAATTATCTTTCACACAGTTTAAATAGTTACGCTTGATTTTCATCACCAGGGAGAAGTCCAATGTTTAAATAAACATTTTTAAAATGTTTTTTGTATTGATTAATAAGGTTGAATGTCACCTGAGATGCATCTTCTATTCCTATCATTGGTAGCGAATCAGGGGTACAATTTTGATCCATGATGAATGATAAACTGCTGCAGTGGTACGGACTGGCCGAAAGAAAATTCTTAAGTTTACATCAAAATATTTAATAATGTGGAACTCCTAACTCCATCAATTTCCTTCAGTGGATCTCATGCTAACTCTCGTCAACAGTTGCATTGAACCTGAGGAGATGTTGTTTACAGTTGGCAGGATTATCTGCTGACGACATGATTGCTGTAAATAATATGCGTTGCTTATGTGGGCCTGATACCAAAAAGTCTTCAGTAGGGGGTTTTACACTGAAATTTGATGTTCATAAGGTAAAGATTTTAGGTTATTTCCCGGCTTGTATTTATATATGTAATCTGGATCTCAAAACATATTTTTTCCTCCTGTTGATAACAGAAGAAGCACGCACATAGAAAAGAGCGAACAGGGGAAGAATCAGCATGGGCACTATCCCGATTTTATCCTATTTTGGAGGTATGAATCATTGTTTTCTCTAGATTAGTTTAAATATTTGATGCTACTAACGAACCATCTAAAACTTGCCAGTTTGGGTTGTTCACGTGGACTTTGTTTTAAATTCTGTTTTCCATGTCGCACATTAACTTAATGTTCTTACAATGCGCGCTAGAAATATAAGTTACCCACTTTATGCGCTACATTGAATTTTGTCTGTTTTATTTTATCAAAGTACCCATATAATATTTAGGAAGATTTATATAAAAAGTTCTGAAGTCAATAAGAATTTCTTATGAAATATCCTTTTACTTGTAGGGTTGATTTTCAATTTGCTAGAAAACATGGCAGAATATTACAAAGACGTTCAAGGACTTCTGGGAAGTCGATGTGAATTTAATCACAACAAAAAAAAGACAATCCCTCTGTCCCAAAATATAAGGACTTCTGGGAATTTTAGGACAATTAAGAAGAGAAAAGTCCATACTCCTCATTGGACAGCTGGGAGCCTGGGACCACTACTGAGTCCTGATTTGCTTAGTTTGTGGCAGGCTGTTGGGCTAATCCATGCCACAAATCCTAATTACCTTAATTTTGGGGCTGGACCTGTTGACTTCCCAGAAGTCCTTATATTCTGGAATAGTATTTAAGCACCAGAACTCCTTATATTTTTGGACAGAGGGTACTGAACATGCAAGTCCCATTGTGAAAGCCAAAGGCCCAAAAGCTGATATACAGTGTAGAAGAAACTTTACTATCTGGGATATCAGAATGATCATATCTCATCCCATTAAGCCATGGAGAGTACAGGGCCTATGGGGTACTAAATGGCTGAGCAGTACTCTAGTCTACTAAATGGCTTAGCAGTACTCTAGTCTGCAGGGCTGCCGTTTGTACAGGCAAACCATCCTCCCCATCAGAAACACAATGAAATAATTGTATTTTTCTCTAAAATTAGGTGAATGCCACCATATAATTCCTTTATGCCTTGGTTTTACCAGTTTTCATTTATATTGGTATAATGATGTGAGTGACGTTCTTACCTGTCCTGCAGGAATTGATTGAAAAGCTTAGCAAAGGTGAGCTTCCAAAAGATGAATATAACTGTATGAACGACCCTAGTCCTAGTGCTCATGGACCGCCAACCAGTAGCTCTGCCCGATCAAGTCCCGCTCACTCTATGCGATCCAGACGAACAGGTGGCACATGGGCTAGACCTCGTGGCTCTGATGATGGATATTCAAGGTGAGTGGTGGATACTCATTTCTTGGTTCATGTTGAGTATGAGCTGAAATCATCCTGGTTAGCAAGAGGTTAGGAAGAGATGCTGTTTCAATGTAGGGTCTTATTAAATAATTAGTGGGACAGGGGCAGCATGTTTTTCGTGCATAGATGGTATTTTATTTTCCAACCAATCATATCCCACACTGCAGTCATAACTCATAAGCATCCCTATCCAGCACCCTCATGGCTGTTTCAAATATGTATCCATTGGACCACCACTACAATGCTGGGATCATTGAGTTACTTACCAGGAGCTGGCCATTGGTAACTTGTTTTGGAGGAGCAGACACTGGAGTTGCAATTTCTGCACAAATGTGGAACTGGCAAAGGAGTGTGTGTTGCCACTTTGCACTAAAGAGGAGCATGATCAACAAGAGCTCTCACTTTCATAGCATTTCCTGCATCAGTGCCTGACTTGGCATTTAAGGATAGCTGACCATAACCATAGGCTAAAGAATCTTCAATTGCCATTTGAGCTAACACTTCATTGATATCCAATTCATCGAGGGCTAGTGCACTCACTTGGGCCTTTGGTCGTTTTGTGCAGACTTCATTGTGGGTTGGATCATAATTGTCCCACAATAGTAGCTCAAACCATTTGCTCGATGATAGTCTCTTAGCTGTCTCTCCTTCTAGAGTGGAGTAGACCCTTTGGACTCAGGCTTGTAAGGAAACTGAGCTGGAGATTTGAAAGGAGTATGCTGCCTTGTTTTTTTTTGAATTTGGTAGAGTCCCCCATGCATTGTTGTAGTTTGGTCAACATGATTGCTCAGTGTTGTCAGGAGCTTAAGACTGAACCGGCACTCTGATCTCTTGTTTGATGCCTTTCAGAATTTGGGACAAAATACAGTTCATCAAATCCTGTATTGTGCATGGATCTCTCAAACTACAAAGCTTCAAAGTTTCAGCATAACATTCCACAGTACTACTGTCTTGCTTCAACTCCAACAATCTGGTCAGAGCCTCCCTATATAGAGACCAAATTGCGTTTGCACTGCACTAACAACAGTTCCCTAGGAACCCAACTTGTTCTTCTGCTTGTACATCTGCAACCATCGTGCTGCATTGCCTTCAAAATGCAGAGCAGCTGCAGTTGACCACATGGAATCTTCAATATTTCAATTTGAAAAATCTTGAAATAGTGCATTTGTCCTGCTATGGGATTAGTTCCATTGAACTTGGGGGTTGGGGGGGGGGGGGGCATGACAGTTGTAGTTGTGATCACAGTGGTGGTGAAGTGGTTGGACGCGCTGTAGTGCCGAACGTATTGTTTGCTCCACGGTCAGGAGATGGGGGTCGGCTGTCTGCTGAATCCATCAGAAAAATGATCCAGTTGAGTTGTGCTACAGCCTGACCCATTGCTTCTGCTTGTTTGGATAAGAATTGCTCCTCCTTTCCATTACTGAACTGAGCCAGCTAAGTTTGTATTTACTGCTGCTGAGAGCCAATATCACCGACACGACCACACGGGTTAACAGGAGATCCACCATCACTTGGTCCCAATGTTCAGCATTTTTCTGCTCAACTTTGACATGGCAACAAAAGTCATCTGTGGAGAAGCTGGGTAACTGCTTGCAAACTGATCAGGTGGATAGGAATTATTGCACACAACTAGATAGCAGGGAACTAAGGGTCTGAATTGTTACCTGGATTACTCCTTATCTGGGCCCTCGTAATGCAAACTGGGTCTGATTGTTTATATGCATAAGACCTTATGCAGGCTGACACTCTCTTCAAAGCAGCTTAAGCCTGCATCCCACTATTCGCTCAAATCTGGCATATCCAGCTATGCAAGTGGGAACTTGCATCCGCACTGCAGCCAAGTGCCTTGTCCTTGCACCCGCTTTGCAGTGGATGCGCCCGCTCTGCACCTGCTGTCCTCTCGATTCTTTCCCCGCCGGTGGACTTGATGACGGCGCACACCTTGAGGACGAGCTTGTGGCAGATGGAGGTGCCGAGGCCAAAGCGCTTGGACACGAGGCGGAGCAGCTTCCCCGTGGCGAGGCCCTAGATACTGACAGCAACATGCTCTTGGACGGGGATGGCGAGCATGGTGTCCTCCTTGGCCAACGTGTTCAGGCTCAGGCGCGCCGTCGCATTTGCTGCCAAGGCTGACGAGCTGCATTGCCGCGTCATTAAGCTGGGATGCATTCCGGATCGCCGGATTGGTCTGCGGTACATGCTTGTGTCCATGTACGACAAATTCAGGCATCTGGGGGAGGCGAGGAAGGCGTTCGATGAAATGCCAGTGAAGAACGTCGTCACTTGGGAATGCACTTGCCGTGCCTCATGTGATGCAATCTCTTGTACTTCATGCATACTTAACTATAGTTGGATTATTCTCTGTAGTCTGTAGCAAAATTTATGTAATAGTTTTTCGTCGTAAAAATGTGCTCAATAGTTTAGTGAAGTGAGCTCACCAGCAAAATTTATGTCTCGACTTTTTACGGGAGACCAGAGTTGAGAGGGGCATGATATACTTGGGGTAACCTCAATACCCTAGCAGTGGCGGAACTAGGGGGTGGGTAGCAGGGGCCACGGCCCCCCCCCCCCCAACACCATGCAAATTTTTTAATCCTATATATTTAGATTCTAAAGAAGATACATAAGCAACAAAGTAGATGCAATTATAATCTTATACTACCTTTAAGAATCAAAATTTGCAGCTATGCTAACTTTTTCTCTATTTTCATACTAGTTGGTTTTGAGAATCTTAAAAATGTCATTACAAACCTTTTAAAAAGTATAGAATATATTTTGATGGGATTGACCATGTTTAGCTGGCGCCCTCTAATCAAAATTTCTGGTTCCGCTGCTGCACCCTAGCACAGCCAACCAAACACACCTCCTGTGTATTCCCCTATGCAGGCTAACCAGTTATGTTTGGAACCAATCACGCGCATAATACTGTACAACTTCCTATCCAGTTAAACCAAACAACAGCGGATTGTATTGTTCTTATTCAGGTTAAGGATATGCTGCATAACTAGTATATGCTATGCAATATAGTGGAAGCAACCAATGAGACCCTAATCGAATTGGCGTCACAACCTAATCTGTTTCTCCGATCAAAGTCGTTGGAATACTGCAACCACACGGGAGTTGATCCACAACCAGATGAACACGCAGAGAATGTACCTCCGTGATGAGACGTGTTTGTCATCTGAGAAGACAAATTCCACCACTGCCATACGCCAGAGTTCTTGTGGAAGAGAAATCCTGGTACCTGCTTCCCTGGAACTCCATAACTAGATGTACCGCCACCAATCGCCGCCCCAGGAGAAGAGTGCTACCAACATATGTTGGAATTCCACCTGCTAGATGAATCACTGCCGCCTGCGCAGCTGGAATTCCACTTGTCAGGTCTACTACCACCAGCGCTGATAGAAATCCTTGTCACTGCCGCAAAAGAGGAAAATGTGGTTGCTGCAGAAATATTTCCATATTACCAGCAGGGAAAAAATTAGAAGTTCTACTTCTTTCCCTTGCTATGCCTTTGGAGGATCTTCACAATGTACAAAAAATAATTGATGGCATTCAAGCGCCACATTAATCCTAAATTCATGAAATCCAAAAAAAGAACTAGAAAATCTCATTAACTGAGAAAAAAAGGAAAATATTTAGTATACTTGTTTTTGGGGCTCCAGTTTATAGCAAGCGGAGAGTCAGATGTATATATGAATGATACAATTGTTTTGTATCCAATATAATACAAATAGTAACCGAAGTACAACTCCTTTAGATCTAAACTATGAAACTTCATGTGACAGTATAAATGTAATGACTATAATTATATTCTAAAATGTAGCCATGATGTTATGCTGTTGTTTGGGCAATTATGCTAGTTTTGTATAACAAGCAAAAGAAATGTTGAAAGGGCCATTTTACCTTCATTTAAATCCTTTGTTAATATGTAATGGGAAGGTATGTATGGAGGAAAAGGTAGAAGTCATCTCAAAGTTAAAATTATGTGCATTAGAAATCTGGGAGGACCTTTTTGATAATTGAGTATATATTATCAGAATGTTATCATGTGTGCTAGAAGCTGGTTAGATAATTGCTATTGTGAATTTCTGGGATTTATTGCAAGTATCATGAATCTTTGTTTGCACTCTCATGCATCAGATTTTTATGCATTGCATTATCAAATTTGTGCAAATATAAGTTATAATCTGTTATATAATTTTCAGCAACGTCTGCTGACGGCTTCGATTTTTTCCAGTGATTCTGTGTTGAAGCATGCCTCCAGTGACTTCAGGAAACTTGGTCAGCGTATATTTGTTTTTGTAATAGGTGGTGCTACTCGATCAGAGGTATCTCCAGTACATTGTTTAGTTGCATTTGTATGTTACAGTTTCTGTAGAGGATATGAGTTAAAGTATGTGATGCTTTAGAATTCTAAGATCCATCATTTGTGTAAGTATTTTCATGCTGCATGCTGTAACCAGTATTGGAAATTTTCTCAGTTACGTGCTGCACACAAGCTTTCATCCAAGCTGAAGCGAGACATCATCCTTGGTTCATCTAGCCTTGATGATCCTCCCCAGTTCATCACAGTAAGTAGCTTGCCCTGTTACTAGTCGACTCTGCGTGATGGCTTGGCAAAACTGAATTGGATTGCTATCGTTTGCAGAAATTAAAGTTGATGTCAGCAGAAGAATTGACACTTGATGATCTTCAGCTGTAAATGGTGTCATCGCCCACTTGGAATGGGTTAGTTCAGTATGAACTTTCGCCATAAGTTGTATGTAACCTTTTTATTTTCTTTTTAGTTTTCTGTCCGCTCTTGTTTGTAGGGGCATATCATATTCATTCGGTGAAATGTATTCTTAACACCACTTTTACTGGTGAATGTATATAAATAGTGGCCAACATAACTATACGGATCAATTTTTTAGATTGGGCCAATGGTTTGTTGGTTTCATTTTCTCTACGAACTTCTATCCACATGTGATGAGCAGGTTATACTTTTGAATGTATTCCCTCCGTTTTCAAATACACGAAGTTTGGAATAAGCTAAATAGTTACAACATGTGGGTTTTGGACAGCGGTGGTGTGACCTTTCCCTGATTTTATCCACCTCCTCTACTCAAGTCTTGGTTAATGGAGAGCCAGGTGCATCCATACATCATCAGCGTGGCCTCCGTCAGGGTGACCCTCTCCCCCATGCTTTTTATATTCGTCATGGATGTTCTGAACTCTGGTGGAATATGCAACTAGAGAGCAAATGCTCCAGCCGCTTGCTGTGTAACATGCTAGACATCGAATCTCCTTCTATGCGGATGATGCTGTGGTTTTCTTGCGGCCATATAGGATGGACCTGCAAGTCATCAATAGAATCCTGGATTTATTTGGCCATGCCTCGGGTCTGCGTACTAATCTAACCAAGAGCTCAATCTCCCCCATCCACTGTTCTACAGAGGATGTGCAGCTTACAGCGGAAATTCTTACTTGTGCTGTCAGGAATTCCATTGCACATGTCTTGGGCTACCCCTTTCTATTCACAAACCCACCATGGAGGTGCTGCTACCTCTAGTTGATAAAGTGGCTGATCTTCTCCCAGGGTGGAAGGCACAGCTAATGAATAGGGCTGGTCGCTTGATCTTGGTCCACCCCCATTTATTTAATGATTGTCTTTGATCTCCCTAAATGGATAATCAAGGCAGTAGATAACAGGAGAGCTTTTTTAAGGAAAGGGCAGGAACAAGCAAATTGAGGTAATTGTTTAGTTTCATGGGAAAGGGTACAACGTCCGCTTGAGTATGGTGGCTTGGGGATCCATAACCTTGAAAAACTTGGCTGGGCTCTAAGGATTCGTTGGCTTTAGGCCAAAAAAACAGACCCCTCAAAACCTTGGGCTGGTTTTCATGTTCAAATTACACAGTGCGCAGAAGCAATGATTCGCTTGGCGGTTAACTGTATTGTTGGTAATGGGGAATCGATTTTATTCTGGAATTGAAGGACAGGTGGCTGGACGGCAGAACCATTACTGAACTTGCCCCAAATTTGATCAAAGCTGTGTCAGTGTCACTTCTACAGCAACTTCTGGACACGGCCGCAAGGCAAGCGACGTCGGCCAGGAGCGTGAACGCGACGTCGCCCAGACTGAAGATGCCGCCTTTGGCCCAAGACGCGGGATGCGTGTGAAGAAGCCCAGTGTGCGCACCCAGGGCCCAGAATGGGCATGACCCAGCCCAGCTGGAGGATGGCCTGAGAGAGTGGCATAAGTAGCCGAGAGAGAGAAGGGAGAAGTTAACAAACAACATAATACTTGTAATATTGTTAAGCACTCTTCTGTTCTATGAACTTCGTCTTAACTATCCCCTTGCTGTGCTCTTCGATCTGTATTCTGTTCTTCTGATTCCCATGCTATCATCTGGTATCAAAGACAACCGATCCCTTCCGCTCTTCCCTGCTCTGAATTGTTGATCGTCGCAACCACTCCAGGTTGAGAGATTAGATCGATCGAAATGATCTTCGATCTTCGTAATTCCCAACACGCGTCGATCCGATTCGTGAGCCGCGAACTGGAGCAATCCACCAAACACACTACACCACCGCCGCCACCACCGCCACATCCCCACTACACCAGATGCGCTCGCCGTCGCGGAGCTATTGTAAGGAAAATGGACCCTAGGCCCATTTACTTTGGATTTTGGTGTTTGATGACCAACACAACCAAATTGGACTAATGAATTTGTAAGTAATTGTTTTGTAGTTCAATAGGGTGCAAGACATGACTTGGACGAAGGCAACATGATGATCTCATGATCAACACCATAAGCAAGGCCCTAGAAGCACAAGAGAAGACCCAAGATATTAAGCAAAATCCAAGCATGAAGATGGGAACCGCGCTGGATGCAAGATCGCGAAGAAACGAGCTCCACAGAGGTGACCGGATGCGACCCTATGAGTGACCGAACACATCCGATCAGTTGCTCAGCAACAACAGGCGTCAGCAGCAGCGACTGGACGCTGAGCGAGGCAGTGACCGGACGCACGGACTTCACTGTTCATGGTCGCGGCAACAACTCAGTGAGGACCAGACGCAACAGCACTGGATGACCGGATGCACAAAGTGCAGCATCTGACCATGTCCAGAGAGGTTTCAGAGTGACGCAAATGCGACTGGACGTGTCCGGTCGATGATGACCGGACTCGGCCCAGAGTCCGATCAACGCGCGCTCTCAACGGTCGGGACGACCGGACGTGTCCGGTCAGAACAACAGCAGCGTCCAGTCAGTAGTAGAAAGCTGGGTTTCATCCCCAACGGCTACTTTCTCTATGGGGCTTATAAATAGAACCCCCAACCGGCCATTTGAGATGTGGAGAGCTGAGGAAACATACCAAGGGTGTTGATACACCATTTTAGTGATCTCCACTTGCATAGTGCTTAGTGATTCATTAGGTAATTAGCATAGGTGCTTTGCGAAGTGCTTAGGTTGATTAGACCACCGCTTATGTGCTTGCTTTAGGTTTAGGCCTAGTGTTTAGTGAGGTTTGCATACCTCTTACCACTCGGTGCTTGCGCATACCATTGTTGTACATCGGAAGAGCTTGTAGTCTTGCGAGATCACACTAACCGCGTTTGTGGTGTGGCCGCCACCGTGTGCTAGAGGGAACAAGACCTGCGGCGTTTCGGCCGGAAGCTTGATAGTGAAGACGGCAGGGAGCGGTCCGGGAGAGACTTATCGAAAGACACACCGGAGACCCACTTGCGCGTGGGGAAGGCCCGGGGCTATCCACAGAGTTACCCAATCGGGAGCTTGGCCCTTGTGAGGGATTCCTTGCGAGAGGCTTCAACAAGGACTAGGGGGAAGCTTGCGCGCTTCTCAATACTTCGGTAAAAATACCGGAGTCATCGACGAGGGTTTGCATATCTCTACCTTACTCTTTAGCTTCAGTATTTACATTGTTTGCATAACTCCTTTTGCGGTAGAGATAGCAACACACCTAGCAAAACCGTAGTTGCACATTTAGATAGTTTATCTTTTGCATAAGTTTTGACTAGGTGAAATTAGAGGCCATAGTTTAGAGTAGTTTTAAGTTGCCTAATTCATCCCCCTCTTAGGCGTCACGGTCCCTTACAAGTGGTATCAGAGTCGGTTGGCTCAATTTGGACCTTTGGCTTCACCGCCATTGAGCCAACGCTATTTAGAGTGGTTAGGATGGATACCTTTAGGCCTCCGCACTTTGACGGCACTAACTTCCCCTAATATAAAGCTAGAATGGCTTGTCACCTTGAGGCGGTAGATTGGGGTGTTTGGAGAGTCACTCGTGACAAGATGAAACCCATTAAGAATCCCGATAAACCCACAAAGAGTGAAGAAAAAGAAATTCATTTCAATGCTAGAGCTAAAAATTGCTTGTTTGAATCTTTTAGCATGGATGTGTTTAACCAAGTGTTCATTTTAAATACGGCACATGAAATTTGGTTAAAACTCCAAGAGCTCCATGATGGCACAACTAATTTCCGTGAGCAAAAATATTGTCTAGCTAAATAAAATTATGATTCCTTTAAAATGAATGATGATGAGCTTGTTCGTGATATGTATTCTCGTTTAAATCTAATTATCAGTGAGCTCCATTCAATAGGATTAACGAAGCTAGATGATGCGGACATCGTGTGGAAGATCATCTCTGTGCTACCACAAAAGAAATATGCAAGCATCATCACCATTCTTCACAACATGGAGGGCTTGAGCACCATGACCCCGGCCATAGTCATTGGCAAGATAGTGGTATTTGAAATGTCATGGAAGTTGGGTCAAGAAGAAGCCTCGTCATCAAGCAAAGGCAAAGCTCTCGCATGTAGTGAGAAAAAGAAGATGAAGGGCAAGCAAGTTGAGACAAGCTCAAGTTCAAGCTCCTCAAGTGAAGATGAAGAAGAAGATGATGCTGATGATGAAGATTCAAGTAATGATAATCAATCTTCCTGCTCCACCTCCGACCTTGATGAAGAATCAATCAAACTTATCAACAAAGTGGAGAAGATGATCCAAAGGCTCAATGTCAAGGGTGTGCCCATCCAAATTCAAGATTTCATCTTCACCCATCAAAGAAATGAGCAAAGAAAGAAAGGATGCTATGGATGCGGCGAGTTGAGGCACTTTGTGGAAGTTTGTCCAAACAAGCCCACACCCAAGACAAAGAAGAAGGCGTGCAAGGACAAAGCCCTCACATCAATAAGGTCATGGGATTCTTCAAGTGAAGAAGAAGACCATCACAAGAGGCGAGGCCACAAGCACTCATCATCAAGCTCTTCTCGTGTCTGCCTTATGGCACGAGGTAACGAAAGCTCATCCTCTAGTGAGAGTGATAGTGATGATGAAATGTCTTCTCTTAATGAACTTGTGTAAGAAAATCTTAAATATGCTAAGACTTGCTCTAGCCAACAAAAGAAGCTAAAAATGTTGCAAGAAAAGCTAGATAGTTCACAAGAAGCATATAAAACCTTGCTTGAATAATATGAGACATTTGGTAATCTCAATATTGAACTATCTACTAAAATTGAGCAACTTGAGGCTAGTGCAACAACAAATGCATACACAATCAATGATGAGCAACTTGTAAAGAAAAATAAAAAATTAAAAGAAAAGTTAGCTAGCTCACAAGATGCTTATAAAAGTTTGCTTGCTAAAATGGAAACAATGTGCAAACATTGTGATGAGCGAACTAATAAAGTTG